ATGGCCATATTTGCCATGTAGTATAAAACCTATGTTCACAGTCCTCTCTTAAATGCTCACACTGACCATTTTTTCCTATTCTTGGCTCTGCGTGATGTCAGTGATAAAAGATATTCCGAATACGGTCATGCCCACAGCTCTGGCTGTGAGCACAAAAGCCCCACCCACCTGCTGCTGATGAAACCTTCTCTTTAAAAGGGGCATCCAGTGGGAAGAAAGTTGGCATGAAGGGGAGGGGAGAAGGGAAGGGAAAAAAACACTTTTTACACACAGAGGATAAACTGGGGAGCTGCACGAAGGCCTGGTATAAGATAAAGAAGGATGAGTGTGAGTCATGAAAACTCTCTAGTAGAGTTCAAGAATAAAAATATGGAGCAAGGAATGAGCAGTAGAGGTCCCATTTACATGTGTGTGTGTGTGTGTGTATATATAAAATATTACAGAATAGTTATTGTGTATACATGATGTGATAGGTTGCCCCTCAGTGCAGGAAAGCTATAAGATTAATTCATGTTTTGTCCCCTTGGTCTTTTGAATATCACATTCTTCAATGAAGTCACGAGTTGGAGTTGTGGAGTAAAGAATCTGAAAAAAGAAAGAAAAATGCAGGCGTTTCCATGAACTCATCCGCAGCCCGAAGGTTGTGTCTATTTCTAGCACCAACCTTTTACCACCACTCCACACACTGCCTGATGATGCAATGCTGCACAGTTGTACAAAAACACCTTCAGTGTCTCTGCTTTTATAATGACTAAAATTCATCAACCGCTCACCCTTGTAAGAGATATTGATTTGTTGCAACAACACAATACCTTCACAGACTGCGACTCTGGCCTGACTGTTAAAACAGATATTGTTCCCTCCCTCTATAAGCCTCCCTCTATAAGTAAGACGTCTGCAACCATATATATATATATATATATATATATATATATATATATATATAATACTTTACAAAAAACTATTCTGCTTCACCGTAGCTCAAAACCTTGGCAAAGTAGTTGAGTTCTTCTTGGAAAAAGTCTTTACCCTGCTGAGAGTCTTTGCCCATTCTGCCACAGCTAATGAAAGCCTGTCAGGGGGGGAAAAACACATACAAGCTAATGATGCCTGCCATAAGTGTCTTATGCTAATGGCATGCTGAGTGTGAATAAAGCATGTGGGGCATGGCTTTACTTGTGCATGCATTACACATCTGGGGGTCTCTCAGGGGGGAACTGTGCACAGGTGTGTCAGTTATGGATGTGTGTGTAATGGAATTAAAGCATTTCATACTGCTTTGATAAATTTATAGTTTCTGCTTTGTTGGTCTAAAAAAAAAGTAGAAAAGAACAAAATTGACATAATAAAACGGACGTTTTATCTTGGATTGTATGGGCTGGTATCTTTTCTTCATGTATATCTATGTGAGTGTGAGTGGCATGGCAAACTTAGTATAAATTCAGGCCAGCCACAGCTGAGCAGAGCAGCTGAGAGCTCAGTCAACCTTGCACCCTGTGATCGAGAGTTTCACGCTGTCAGCCAGCGGTCACGATCTGCTGAAGAACAGCGACTGCTCGCCCTCATTCGGACAGCCGCACTTGACAGACATCATCTTCTCTGATCTCAGATCAGAGCTCCCATGTCGCAGCTTCTTCGTGGCTGGCAGGCACCTAGTTATTCAGGCAGAGTGGTGAGGCACTTTGATGGCGCAAAATCGACCCTTCAATCAAATTCCAGTTTATCCTGTTTTGATTGATGTGGAGTGGATGGAAAAACACAGAAATGAGCATCGTAATTTAAGCTGTGTTATGTGGATGGGGTGAAGTGGAGCACTAAATTCTCTGTCATGTTTTGTTATTTTGGGTTCAGCAGACTGCATAAAAAAAAAAATGAAAGAAAAGTGCATTTTTATTTATTTTTTTTCAGTTGTTTTTAACGTTACACACTAACAGTGCCTCATTGGACATTGTTCCATCTCACAGTTAAGACCCCTAAATGCTGGCATATTGTAGAAAAAAGAAAAACAAATGTTAGTAAGAAATCAGCGTAAAGCTTTGAAGTCATAGTGTGTAGAGGGCCATCACTGTCCACGAAGCCAAAAGCTTATTGAAGTGATTTTAAGATCTGCTGGTGCCTATTTGTACAGGACAGACAGAACAGAGCAAAATGAAGATCTGAAGGGACTCTAGCAGGGCTTTAACCCCCCTGAGCACATGTTCAGATCTTTTAAGATAACGATCTGTGATGACTGAGTGTAGACATACGGCACTGTTCAAAATTCTTTAGACGCCCTTGATTTCTTTATATTTTGTTTCCCTTTTAAAATTGGTCTTGAGCAATAGTCCTACAGGCTTTCCAATGGTCTTTCAAAGTTTTTCCGTGGACATTTGGACATTTCCACATCTGCAGAAAACGGTGGCGGCTCAGTGGTGTTGGAAACAAGCGCAGTGAGATTTTTGCTCCGTTGTGTAAAAGTTTCTTGCCGAAGACAGTTCAGGCTGTGTTGAAGAATAAAGGTGACCTTACACGTTATTGACTTTAGAAATTGTTTTTACTGTATTTCCATGTATGTTCAATAAATGTCTTAAGGCTATTTACTATTTTCCCACCAAATACAAAGTGATGAGCAGTGGCTCAGGACACTTCAGTGTCTCCGCAGTGCTAAACATGCCTGTAGCTTAAGTTATCGCTTTGGCGTGGTTTGAATCTCCAAAAGGAGGCAGCTTTAATGATGTAGAGAGAAGAGCTCGCCTTTTTAGCCTTTTACTTATTAAAGATGGCCTGATCCGGCTTTCTTCTAGTTCCATAGTGATACCTCGACTGTGTGTATCTGCTGATAACAGGAACTGAGCCGATACCAGTGTTAAATTAATAATGGGTGACCATAACTGAACAACAGAGACCGAGAATCATTGTTATATGTGTATATACATTACTTTATCACAAGTATAATGAGAGCTTAAAGCAGCGTCCTTCTAACGTCTTGGACAAACTCTCTGAACAAAGTGAGAGTGAGTGAGAGAAAGAGACAAAGCCACATCTGATCTTTTCAGCCATGATGGCTCACTTTAACCACAGTTTGTTCTTAAGTGAAACAGTTTTGCAAACATACAGACAGAAGCTGTTGGTGTAGCTACAGTGAAACACCTCCCACTCCAACAGAGAAGTGAACTGAGGGGACTGACACCGGATGATTGTCAGAGAGATTACCTTACAATATAAAGCGCCTTGAGGTGACTGTTGTTGTGATTTGGTGCTGTATAAATAAAACTGAATTGAATTGATATGGGCTCCACCTTTTTGGGTCTATATCAGGCCGATATCCAGTCCCAATATCGAGTCGGCACATCCCTATTACTTATGCTAATTTACCTTAGACTGTACATAAAAGATGGCTATCACCTTTTGACTTTCTGGCCACACGATTTGAAGCCTCAGAGTTGGTGCACTGGCTGGCACATTTTTGTTTTTGTAACCATAGGTGAGTGTTTGCAGATAGCTGCTGGGCACAGCTACCCATGCCCAACAAAATCCAGATGATTTAGCTTAAAAAAAGATAATCTGTAATATTGATTTGAAGGTATAAATTCTTATCTTGTGTTGACTTGAGGCTGGAGTTGACCTATGGTCACTGTCAAAACACACTTAATAGATGAATCATTCATCACAGTAATTGGTTGTAAAAATCAGAGGGAGTTTCTAAGTTGCATACTGAACAGCAGGGCTTCGTGCATTATGTTGGTCTGTGCCGATGTCACAAGTGTTTTACTTGGTTGTTAACAGTGTGTTTTCTCAAACAGTGTGTTTTCTCAAACAGTGTGTTTTCTCAAACGTTAATTTAGGTGGGCTGGATTTACAACGATGCAAAACGAGAACATCGCCGAGAAGCTGAAAATGGCACAATGACCATTTTCCTCTCGATTATCTCGTTCTCATAATCATTGGAAGTCAAATTAATTGAAAAAAAAAAATAATTGAAAATAAAATAGTCTGGGCAGAACTCCTATACTTAAGTCGTGTGCTGACTGCCTGTGGCAACCGTCGCAGTGTGTTTCACATCTTGTGCTGGATGTAGCTCCATAAAGCCAGCCATGTGAAATATTTTCCACTGAAAGGTTGATGGGTAGTAACATTGTGAAGTTCTCAGCCCGAGGCGAATGCTGCACAGGTCATCTGCAGGAAGCCGTTGCTCTCAGTGACTTTCTTTTCCAAGTACTGGAATGACAAAATGTCAACAAGTAATTAGCAGTGAAAACAAAGCTGTGACACGTTATTAAGCCGGTACAAATGAAGTTTGATTTTTAAAGAACGTAAATACAAGAAGAAGAGAAAGGTCAAGGAACTTGTTTTCCAGAGTGTAGCTTACATTAATCACTATGATTAGCTCGTTAGTATCTAGTTTTGGCTGTGGATTTATGCTCATTGACTTGCAGTGTATGCTGTTTAAGAGCTTTTCCACTTCGGGGCCAGTTACTCCGACAACTGATGGCTTTTCTTCTGATCAATGAATGTTGACAGACGATCCCTCTTTCCTTCAGTGGGATGAAGTGCACAACCTTTTAAGGCTTTGATTTGGTTTCTTATGTTGTTGTTTTTTAATAAAATTAAGTCACAAAATGACCTTGTCTTTTGGACACAGCTTGATTAATCACTGGGCTACTGTGCTTGTGTTTCCAGGTTTATGCACATTGCAAACAACCAATAAATAAATTGGCAAATTGCAATTTTCTCAGTAGAAATCTGTAACTGTGGTCTAAGATGCCGAGATATAAATTCTTAATCTAGTGGTAATACCCTAGCTGATATTCATGCCATGCTTTCATCTTTTGTTTTTTTGCGTAGTGGCACTACTTTAAAAAAAATTGTAAAATAACACAGCCGTGCCTCAGCATAGAGTCATTTTAGCGGCACTCGCAAGGTAATAACCACTTAGAATATGGGATTGCTTCTGTGCGGAGTGAATATATCCTTGACAGCCGACTAACACACAGTTTGTTTGTTTTTTGTTTGTTTTCCAGATTACCCAGGAGCAGTTTATTCTTGCATCCCAGTCCCTGCACCTCCAACGACCAGGCTGCGATGCCGTGTACCCGGTGGGTTTATACGGGTGGAGAAAAAGATGCCTTTATTTCTTCCTGCTACTGCTCCTGGTCACCATGATAGTTAACCTGGCCCTCACCGTCTGGATCATAAAGGTTATGAACTTCTCAGTGGTGAGTACAGCACGGCAAACACACACTTTGAGTTATCAGAAGGAAGCCTATGATCTCATCGTTAAAGTCGACATATGAATAGATTCTGACTGATGTTAATATTCGGTGATTTAAAAAGTTGATTTGGGCCAGTAATTATTTTTCTTGCAGGCACAAAAAACATAAACAGATTTTTTTAATAACATTTATTACATGTATTTATTTGTGAATTCTTACTAAGATAACATGACTGCTGTTTAAAAATGATCTTGTTTTATTGTCACAACAACTCGTGGATTACTGTGCCCAGATCAGCTGGTTCTTTCCAGTCCAATCCAGTTTATTTATAGAGCACTTTTTATTGAAAACACAAGTTTGACAAGGTCTCATACAAAGGAGCAGTACACTCTCAAAAAGTCAGTGAAACAAAAAAAACCTTACCAATAATATTAATAATTCATTCATTCATTTGTTCATTTCAGGCACAACAAAAATACATATATTGAACATAAAGTGCACAAAACAAAAACAAAAATTACCTGAAAAGGAGTGGGACGAAGAAAACTTATTAAATCCCACCCGTGTACTCACTCATCAACAAAAAACAATAAGCTTCCCGCAACTAAATAATAAATATAAGGTAAGAAAACACCATTCTGATTTAAATACCAAGGAACAAAGATGAGTTTTAAGATGTGTTTTAAAGGGAGCCAGTTTAGCTCAGTGAGTGAGCAGGTGACCCTGTGCCTTGTTTGGTATCATCCTTTTCAGCACAACCTCAGTTGTGTTTTCATTTTGACATACTGTATTAACACAATTGATCTAAAATTAGACAAAAACACAAAATCAGAGTAGAAAATGTTATATTTTTTACTGTAACAACCAAAAACATGTTTAATGAATCATATTTCATAACTTTAAATGCAAATATAAATTGTCAATTCTAAAATCCTATGCACAAGTTTTGCAAACAAAGTTTGCAGTTATTTATTATTTGCATCCATTTACCTTTTACCTTGATTTTTTTTTAAATAACCATTTCAAACTATTTACAGAACAATCAGCTGTTCTGCATTCAATAAGATGCCACACAAATTATTTGTGCCACGTAGGGATGGGTATCGTTTAGATTTTATCCGATACCAGTGCCAAACCGGTACTTTTGAAACGGTGCCGGTGCTTAAACGGTGCTTAAAGAATGGAGAACACAAACTTTGTCCAAAAACCTCTCATGTTTAGCTGTTTTTTTGTAAAAAGATAACAATGTTAGCCTTTTCTGTAGCTATAGGTTGTATTAGAGAATTTACAGAATTTATCTGCTTGTCTTGCATAAAATGAAAGGCCAGTTTGAGACCAAGATTAGCCACTGTGGTTTTAATATACGGCTGCAGAAGGCCCAGGATCAAGAGAGGAGCAGCGCACTACAGCAGTGGTTTAGGGAAGCTGACATCATTATTTTTATGGACATGTTTACCATTTCTATGCAGATAACACCCAAATTTACAACGCCATGGTTAAAAAAAATCAGTCCCAGCAGGAGACGGTAAAGAGGAAAAAAGAATTCCACATGACAGAGAGGCTAAGGAAGACAGTAGCTGTGTCCCGAAACGTAGGCCGCATCCTCCTGAGGCCGCATTTGTAGACCGATTATGTCACAGTGACGCGACAAAGGCTGTCTCAATTTGTAGACTCCGGCAAATGTGGCAACAAATGCTTCCTCCTTTTCCCCAGATTTGAAGTGTGGGTCGGGTGTATCCTTCATGGCCCAGCCAATTCCAGTTTCCAACAATGGCAGCTGCTACTAAGTTTTAATATTACTCTTTTATTCTTTCTGGGTCACAAAATAAACTTTTAAGATAGTTTCAGGCGAGAATGTAGCTGCGTAAACTTCAAATATCTGCTCGGTTTATCAAGACATCACATATTTGCAAAAGTGCTCCGACGTTTTCGGAGACGTCTGTCACCCACCAGATCGATAGCTAGCTGGGGGTTCAAGGGTCACTAGAACAGCGGACTCCCGTCTTCATCGTTTTCAGACCCCCAATGTCTTTCGCTACTCAGGTTAAACATGATATGTAAGTCACTCAGATAACTTAAAAATGTTATTGTTTGGCTTTTTTCAGTGTTTTATTTGTTCCGGACTAAATCGGTTTGGTTGAGATCAAAGTTATTAGATTAGATTTGATTAAATAAAACTTGATTAATCCCTCGGGTGAGTTCCTCTGGTATTTTCACACAGCTGGATAAACATCAAACAGAAAACTGATTAAAAAGAAGTATGAGATGGTCAAGAATTTCGGCAGTGTCCTGTTATATTTTAGACAGCAAGGAGCAGACAGCTGAGTTCATTAAACTCCACCGAGACAGCGGTGACGCAAATCTGAAGGCTAGACCGTCCTATTTCACAGTCTTGCACTTCCGGCTTTTTCTTTGAAGGACCTGGCCTATGTAGACCGCTGCAGAGTCACGAAAGTGGACTACTTTTGTTTGTGGCTTTCCAAAAACATAATGCCTACAAGGAAGTTGGTTAGATCCCTCTGGTGGACAGACTATGCAATGCCAGCACTCATAATATTGGTGGAATAGTGTTTCTCACCTTGCTTGTGTAATTTTTAAATGTTTATTTGCCAGCTGATAAAAATCCCAGTAGATATATATCAGCAAATGGATAATATTGGGCAATAATATCCGCCTGCTGCTATATCAGTCCCGCTCTAATCTGAAGTATGAAGAGGAGTATTTGAATAAGCCAGGGCTTGTCTGTGATTTGTGGACTCCCGTAGATAGAGGGAGCGGTCATGATTTTGGCTGCTTTGCTGCCTTCTGATTCCTAACAGGTGCCCATTATTGAGGGGAAAATGAATTCCCACATTATCTTGCAGAATAATGTCACGGTGACTCGCTGTTAGCTGGAGCTGAGTAAAGTTTGCAGGAAAAATAAATCTCCGACTGAATTTCATCAGACAAAAAAAAATAAACAGTATTGTGTTTGGGGTGGCCTGAGAGGAAATCTTATTTCTGTATGTGCAGGTAGATGTTTGAGACCAGCACTGGAGATCATATATTTATACATATATTCATAGGATCTCTAGTGCTGTCCTCAAACATGTAAAGAAAACTGGTCCAGAATTTCTCCTTAAAGCTGTCCGGCTCTCCTTCAGAGCTGTCAGATGTGCACAATTAAGCTCATTGTTGCAAGGAAGGCTTGTTCTCTTAAAAATCCAGCATCACTGAAATGAAGTGTTGGTCTTAGCCCGTCCTCCTGTGCCTATCAGAGGTGTCGACCGCTAACTCAGTAGGAGAACCATAATGCTGTATCCAGAACAGCATTTGTGGTGTGCGTCTTGTTCTCTCAGACACATTAACAGTCGTTGGAAGCTTTTATTGCACTTAGAGCAGGCTAACAAGTTGTTGGCAGCACTGTCTTCGCTTTACCGTCTTTACCCTCTCTGATACACTCCAGTCTGTGCTGTGTTCCAACCCTCTCCTATGAAAAGCATTTATAGTAATAACATAATTATATAAATCAGACAAATCAGCCAGTGTATAGCAGTTAGATTTGATTGAGACTGCTTTAGTGTCTAAACTAAACAAGTATTGACAGCAGGGTTACAAATATAGGGGATCAAATATATAACGGGCATCTCGTGCTGTGTACTGGATTCGTCTGGATTCTGTAGTATTAAGAAAAGCCTTGGCAGCAGAACGTGTTAATCTCAAGCAAAATCCAAACAGGCAGAAGCTGCGAGCTCCTCCCGTGACATTTTCAGGGACAATGCACACAATTTACCATTTTGTCAACAAATTCCCAATGGCAGCACCCCTCCCAACCCCCCAAACCCCCTCGACTATTACAATCACTCCTCTGCTCCTTCTTCTGTCATCAATCTATGTCATGAGTGAAAGACCTTATCAGTGCTGTTGGTGTTGCTTCAAAAAATGCACTTCGCTGCTCCAGATCTCTCAGGACTCAGCAAGTTTCATTAAAAAAAAAAAAAGCATAACAGTAGCTTCTAAGAACCGCACCACGAGGGCATTGCTGTTACATTTTAAAGTTGCCACTGATTATCATGTATTAAAATGAGACGGTATTGGAGAACTTGCATTAAAAAAATAAGTCACTTTGAACACTTGGTGCACGCAACAATGCTTGATTTAAAATAAAGCAAGATTTTCCACTCAGCAGCCATATTGACATCCTATCAAGGGAAAAAATCCTCAACATTAAGTTTCATTTTCTCCAGTACATAAAAACTGCATTACTGCATTTTGTTGCGGCAAAATGAGATTGTCAAGCACAACAACAAATTTCATTAAAACCTGCTATAAATGTTGCCAGAAAGAGTCAGTCTGCTATCAGTGAGTGATTAAATGGAGTCAAATTGGTAATATAACTGTAATAAATCATGAAAAATCTCATATCTGTTGTTGTCTATGTAGACAGAAATCCACAGAAATATAACCAGACTATAACCAGCTGGCAGTCAGTTGGGTCGAGTCCCCTGGAGTTGTGCTCACTGACAAAGACTCATTTAGACTGACGGCAACATGTTGGTAATCTGTCTATAAATGAGACGGCAAACCTTCAACAATCTCTCTCAGAGCGATTGCAGTCAGTCCAAGTCAGACTGCAGCTGTTTGCAGAAAGGTTGCCTCCTATCAGGTGACCTGTGCAATCGCCCTGTCCTCAAAAGTGATCGTGAGTGTGCAACACCCTCATGTTCTGGGTAACCACTTAGTCTGCCACAGAATATGAAAAAATTCAAAACAGTCACCAGACAGCACCTGATTATTATTTTTTTTTTTTTGGAGATGCAGGATGTTGCTCTCCTATTTCTACTCACGTGACTGAGCCATTAGCTTTGGCTGAATTAGCTTTGTCAAGCTAAGTGTGTCTATTGCTGGATGGTAATTCAATTGAGATAATTTAATGTAAGGTTTTTTTGGCTAACATTATCTCTGGATGGTCGTGCATCAGATGATCACTCATATTTGTAGTATTTCCAGAGAATGTTCATTTAATTTTTTGATTGGTATCCTTGTATTGATACAGTATCGTGGTAGTACAGTTCTTTTGTTTGTTTTATTGTGGTAACATGGTTTAACATGTAATATGTTGTGTAAATACAGTATAAGTAATTGCTCAATGATAATTCCATCATTAGAACAGTAATAGACTGTCTTGCGTGTTCACTATGTTAATGTATTAGCAGGTATTCTGCTTGGCTAGAGATACACCACGGTGCTGCTATCATAACTCTGACAACCTAATCACACATTCAGTTGCTTCTGAATTTGACTCTCTATTCTGAATTTCAGTAAAAGCAGTTGTTCAGTATTTATAATCTCCAGGATGAACATTATTAGCTCAGTTCAAACAATGATGTTAAGCACTATGATGTAAGGCCAACAGGGATTCATTGCAGGTCTAGCAATCAAGCTCTTAAGACTTTGAGTCAACTATTAATCTTAGGATTAATAATCCAGTGGGACGGGATAAACACTCACCACAAAGCTGCCCGGTAAATCAGAAGTCACAACCTGAATGTTTCCAGCAAGCTGAGTGTGTGAATATCTCTGCGGTTACATCACACGGGCAGCCTGATGATGCACACTACTCAAAAGCATTGATTGTTAAAAATAAAGTTTCTCTGAAAATGCTTTTTTTCCCCTCTAAATATGGGAAAATGGATTATGTGAGTCAATCCTTTTTGAAGTCACTGGTCTGAAAACCATGTGGGCTGTTTTCCCTTTTTATTTATTTATTAATTTTTTTCTGGGTGAAGCTATGTGCGTGTGCTATCTTGGATCCTCTGACTGGATCAAATAGGATGATAAAGCAGATATGTAGCATTAAAGAAACAACTCCAAAACTTCTGCCCGTCTGTCGAGGGCAGAGAGGGGTAAAGCTCAGGTTGTTTTTGGCTCTACAGTTTCTCTTTTAACTGTGGCAGGAGTTCCTCCTCTGGAACATCACCCTTTGTTTCACTGATGCTGACGGTCTCCTTTAGCCTTTGAACATTATCGAACTGGGGCTGTTTGTGACGCCCTCTTTTTTCTCCTACCTCCCATCTACTTATTTAAGTGACTGCAGCGTGTGCTGAATTCTTCACACCCACTATGCCGCCTCCTTCCAGCACAGCAGCAACTTCACAGTCTGACCTCCACACTGCCGCACACACCTCCTAAACTCCCCTGACTTTGTTCTCCTGTCTGTCCCTGCTCTTTGCTCTCATGCATGATGGCGCTCTCCCTGCTTTCCTCTGCCTCTGTAATTCACTCCATCCATTTGTGCCGCTAGCACTATGGACTCTTTCAACACATCCCTCAGGGCCAATCTGTTCATACACATCTCTACAAAGCTGCCCTCACACTTCAGTCTGCTCATTGTGGTGCAGCTAGGCATAACCTTGTCCAATTTCTACTGAATTATATACAGCCCAAAATCAGCCCCCGAGTAAATGTGAGGTGAAGTTGCGGGATCATGCTTCATTTCATACAGTATTTGGTATTTCATTTTTTTTTAAATTGATGTAGCTTCTGTTGAAACGGGATGGCAAAGAATCAATTTAAGTGCAAACCACTGGGCTGTTACCTGTGGAGAGAGGTAGGACTAGCTGTACAGCTAGATAGTTGAAAAATCAGTGTGACTTTTATTGGCGTGACTTTTTTAAAGTGCGCAGGTGAAGCAAAAGATCCCACCAATGATGTGCTGCTTTTCAGAAAGTTCAATCACACAGATGGCCAGACAACTTTTAAAGCTGAAAAGTTTAAATTTAGCTTCTTACTGCAGGAAAATCTCAAGTGAAACAAATTCGTTATTAACGATCCCTATTTTTTCCATTCCAGCGTTAATTAACAGCTACGGTTACCCAGACGTTGTGCTATTAATAATGAAAACTTAAACGTGAAATCCTGAACACGTGGAAAGGTAGTTAAGGTGGAACAAATTTCTTTTGAGAATCAATTTTTTGAAAATATTTTTCTATTTCTATAGCAAAACACAAACTAAGATGCATTGAACATATTTACAGTCCGGACAATCAGAGAGAAAAATTAATTAATTAATTAATTAATTAAAAGTAAAGAAATTACTTAATTAAAATAAATATAGCAATAAATAAATAAATGAACAATTTAAATAATTTTAAGTACTAGTATTGGGACAATAATGCAACACACAAAAATAAGCTGGTAATTACCAAAATCCTTTTTTATGTTAACACCATTTATTTCCAAATGTACAGTTTTACCAAAAAAGAAAAAAATGAGTAAAGCACATTGTTGCTTTTTTAATCAAGATACGAAATCAGTTATTTTCTTGCATTCCTGAGTAGAAGAATCAGCTTTAGTGGTTAAACTTGAACGTTGAACTAGTTTTAAGCAACTTTTTTGAGAGATTTCCCGAACTTTCTTGTTTTTATATATAGATATGTATATAAGATGTTTATTTGTTCATACCACATACTTTTTATTTTTTAATTTTATGAATGATGGATGTAGCCTCAATGACACATCCCATTGTGTAGCCAAATCATCAAAAAGTATCAAAGATGGTACAAAAAAATGAAGCCAGTGAAAAATGGCTTAAATCTAAACACCACCACAATAGTTGTGGCTACAGAAAGACTTCCTGTCCTATAGAAGTATATGAGAAAAACAGCTTTCCGTCTTGACCTCTGTGAACTCTTTCCTGCAGAGTTTATGGGCTCAGTCACACAGTTTGAGAAGCGCTTATGTAAAACTTGAAGGTGAGTAAGATAATGGATAATAGCTGGAACGGACCATCTCTGCAGAATATGGATGTCTTTAATGTCACGTGCCTCTCCTTTCTAATGGTTTTCCTGCTATTACATGCCAAGTGTCTGATTTGACTGTTAAATTCTAATACAGGGCGCTGCTTGAAATGTAAGTTGGTCCTTTTTCAAAAAGGAGTTGGCTGGCTCTTGCAGTTATTAATCATTAAACCATGTGTGGCGAGGAGCAGCTTGAGCCGTTTTGATAGCAGTTAAAGAAAGCTGGTGTGTAAGTGGCAGTGACTGTCAGGTCCCATATGGTTAAAAAAGCTCTGTTGACATTGTTCGCAGCCATTATTTTCCACAGCAGAGTCTTTAATTTTGTCCAATTTATCACACGTGCCCATTTATGTAAATGCAGTGGACAAAACATTAGCAGCAGCTTTGAATGTATCACAGTGCAGTACAACACTACCCACTTTGACCTTGGTAAGAAGAAAACTCCCAAAACTTGCATATTAATATACAATATTGAGCTAATACTATTTCATGCAAATCAGCAGGACCATAAATCTAATTTCTTTCTTATTTCCATGAGTCTTCTCAACATTCGCTTCCATAGCTGCCACATTAGTCTGTTCCTCCTCAGTTTGCCTCCCACTGCATGCAGCCTGTCACCCTGACAGTGCTGAGTGTCTGTGGCATTGTCACCTCGATGTCATGTCCTACTTCTTCCCTGTCACTCAGCCCCGCTGCCTGTCCACCGGCCTGTCTGCTACACAACAGCTTGAGCTCCGTCTAATGTACTTCACCGACGCCAGGATCCTTTTTTTTTTCTTTTTTAAAAAACGTTTGGGAAGCTATAACCCTTTAAATCAAATCAGGAAAATGAACACAGCTTCTTACAGCATCACTGATGATCATGACTCTGTTTCAGGATGGAATGGGAAACCTCAAGCTGAACCAGGATGGGATTCGCATGGAGGGAATCAGCGAGTTTCTTTTGCCTCTGTATGTTAATGAGATTCAGTCCAGAAGGGTAAGTTGCTCCCTTTTCTCACCAGCTTCAAGTTGCTTGTTGATCAATACTCTGATGCACTAGGAATAAGTACCATTGACTGAAACGCATGTGAAAAGCTCTCAGGGAGAAAGATGTCTCTAAAGCTGCAGACAAGTTCATATTGATCTTTCACTGTTGAGGAAGTTATGATCAATTTATTATCAACAAAGGCCAACGTTCCTCCGAGCTCAGACTTTATGCATGCCTGGGTTTAAAAAATAAAATAAAATAAAAGACGACCCCTTTCCTCTCTGTGTATTACTCCTTTCCTCTTCGGCTTCCCTCATTTCCCGTCGTCCTCAAACGGCGTATTATCAGGGCCTCCCATCGGCAGGAGGTGGGTAATAGGCTGCTTCTCAGCTCCTCTCAGGCCACATACAACCTACAGGAGATTACAGACGATTACAGGGGGGGACCAGAGTGTCCCTGCTGGATTTCCAATCAAGCCCACACGATAAATTCCTCCCCCTGTGCACTTCCTCCCTCTCCTTTCTCCTCTTTGATGTTTAGTAGATTAACCAACACAGCTCCAGCCCAAAGTTGATCCAAATGTTCTTCTCCCACACAAATCACAGACGCTCAGTTGGATCATCCCCTTTTTCAGTGATTAGGCATGGTGCAGAAAGCAATTTCAAGCACTGTAGGCTAGGGTTCCAGTATAAATTTGATTTTTTTTTCTGTTTTTTTTTTTTTTTTTTTTGAGGGACATGGATGGAGGAAGTGGCTCGATTATGGCTCCAATTTGCCACAGCAGATTGAGAAACAACTCCGAATTGCCCACTCGTGCTCTTTGATGTCCTACTTGGAGCTAAATGTTGATTTAAATATAACGCTCTTGTGCCTTAGCGGTAGAAGGAAAAACCACCTCACGGCCGTAGCAGATGCCCAAAACTGAGTATTAGACAAAGCCAATATTTCACCGCTTAGTTCAATACCACCTGCAGACATTTTTACGGTCTTGTTTTACAGACAGCGCTGTGCAGGGCCCCTCTTATCTGCCACACCAGAGATATTTGCAGGACAAAAGTCTCCATGGGTCACTCAATATTTCCTCACCTGAGGAAATATGTCAAGCACACACAGAGCAGGGATTATGGTTATGTTTACACAACAGTGCACGGTGCTTCTCTACAGTCAGATAACCAGCATTGATCAATAAGCCATTACCACAAATGGCAGTGAACTTGGTAGTGCATCAAAGGTTTCTTAAAATCAAATATAACATGACCTTATTTATTTATTTATTTATTTAGTTATTTTTTCAAGCTGCAGCTGCTAAACTCGCAGTAAGCTGTAGTTTGATATGTTTTTTTTCCTTTTCACGAGTTAATCATTGCTTTAAATTTTAATCAGTAACTGAAGCTGTAATCTGCGGGTAACATATTGAAATACTCCCTCTGCTTATTTTGGCAGTAACTCTGATCGCTGGCAGCAAAGTACATGCTGAGTAGCCCCTTAAAAAGGCAGAGCAGCATCAGAGTAGCATGTTGCGAGGTGACAGCTGTTCTCTTTCAGTTTACATTGATTAACCGAGCAAAAGGCATGGGAAAAATGCAATCAGGTTGTTTTTGTTGTGTTTGTGAGGTGTCAGCAGGTTAGCATTTTGACCTGCAGACTCTTTTGCAGGTCGAAATGATTAAAAGAAAGTCACTGTGGATGATACGCTCTGTTTAAAGGCGTGTGTGTGTGTTGTTGTGGGGGTTTTTTTTTTTGTTTTTACTGTCATTCTGTATCATTGTTGCTGTTTGGCCCTACTTTCAAATTCAATTGAATTCAAATGAGTTGAGTTGAAGTTCAGTTTATTCCTGCACATTTAATTGCATCCACCTACCTGTCACCCAGGGGAGTGAGGCAGACAGGAGGGAAATAAGAAAGGAAGGAAGAAAGAAGCCACTGTTAATCATAAAACCAAAGTCTTGTCGGTTTTGTTTAAATCTTTATTTAACCATGAAGTGGAGCTCTTGAGATTTAAAATCTCTTTTGTGCGAGTCCGCTGGAGAGCGGGCTGCGCCAACCTAGTGTTTATTTAATGGTAGGTTAATGCAGTTTACAATCTCTGTGTGACGCTGGTGATAATGGGTGGGTGACTGGATATGTAAGGCGCTTTGGGGTCCTTAGGGACTAGTAAAGCGCTATATAAATACAGGCCATTTACCATTTATTTTACCATAAATAGGCCACATTAATAAATCAGGGTAGTTACCCACAAAACAAAAGCTAAAGATTTAAGCAATGTTATAATAAATATATTAGTAAGAGTTTAAATTAGATTTTTAACACATTTTATTTCATTTTTCTTGTAGTATAAATTGTTATTTAACAGTATTTATTGGTTACATGTAACAAGTTTTGTCTCGGCAGTGTACAGGATGACTGAATGTTTGGATTTCCGTGTGACTTTTGTAAACCTTTTCATATTGAGAGCTTAAAATCATGTATCATAACCATATGTATATCAGAGTTCTTGTTTTGATGAACCTACAGAAAAAGGCTCTTCAGTTTTATTTTGTGTGTGTGTGTCTTTTTAGTTTTTTTTCACCCACAACTTTAGCGTTTTGAGTCGCTCTGTCAACCTCAGCAGCAGCATATGGCTGTTTGAGTAGAAACCTCTGATAAAATCACTGTTCACAACTTGTTAGGCACCAAACAGCAGGCAGAGTCGCCGGTCTGCTGCTGAACATTTTGCAGATAAAGAGCCCGATATATGACCGAACAGAGTTAAAAGGAAAGCGCCTAAAAGCATCAGTTCAAAGGAATGCTAATGATGGTCAGCATCTGCTGCTGTATGTGTAAATAGTGTGTTAGTGTTAATGGGTTACCCATACTAACATCATGAGATGATCATATGTCTTGTTGCACTTTACCAAGTGGTCAGAAAATTAATTATTGCTGCTTTCAGTTTTGATATTATTAGTAAGTTTTTCCAGCCGTGTCTGTGTAACCTTATAGCCATGAAAATGTATTTGCTCCTTCCTGATTTTTTGCTTTTATGTTTTTTGCATATTTCTCACATTTTTTATGGTAACCTGAGTAAATAGCCACAGATGCAGTTGTTAAATGTTGATTAATTAAGAGAAAGAAATAATTCAAATCTATTTGGCCCTGTGTGAAAAAGTAATTAATAACAAGGAGAAAACCACTGCTGACCAAAGGGAACTCATGGGCTCGTCTCACATTTGCCAAAACCCGTCTTGATGATCTCAGAGACTTTTGGAAAATATTCTGCGGACTGACGAGACAAAAGTTGAACTTTTTGTCCTTTTACGTCTGCATAAAACTAACACAGCAATAAATAAAAAGAACACCAGCATTGAGATATGGTGGTGGTAGTTTGCTTTGCTTTTTCAGGTCTTGCTGTAACTGATGCAATGATGACTTTTTCTCTCTACCAGAAAATCCTGAAGGAGGATGTCCGGCCATCAGTTTGTGCCCTGATGCTCAAACACACTTGGGTTATGCAGCAGGACAATGATCCAAATCACACCAGGTTCACTTTTGAATGCCTCATAAAAGCAAATTTAAGCTTTTACTAGTCAAAGTCCAGGATCAAATCCAATTGAGGTGCTTTGGCTTGACCTTAAACAGGCCATTAATGTTGGAAAATCCAGTTTCGCCTAACTTAAAACAACTCTGCAAAGAGGAGTGGCCGAAATTCCTCCAGATTGAAAGACTCAATGACTATAATCACAAAGGCTGCCACGATGACACAACCAGTTATTAGGCTTAGGGGGCAATTACTTTTTCACACAGGGTTGAGTAGATTTCAATAATTTTGTTCCTTTTAATAAAAAATGCTTTGCCCATATTGTAGAAAATGCTCAATAACACACACGCCATCAAATGAGGGTCTATTATCTATATTCATTCTAAGTGTTACCATAATGTTGAGTTGAAGAGTTTAAATAGTAAGGACATAAATGAAGTGTAAAACGTTAGAGCCTGTGAAGGTTCTCAGTCATCCAGGTCATCGTAGTCAAAGGAGCTTGCAAAGAAAAGCGTCTGGACTTCTTTAAGTTACTTGAAGACGTTTCACCTCTCATCCGAGAAGCTTCTTCAGTTCTAAGGTCAAATGGTGGAGAGTCCCAGATATAAACCTAGTTGGAGTTTCCCCCCACAGAGGGACAAAAGGACCCCCTGATGATCCCCCAGATGCTTTTCTTTGCAAAACGTTAGAGCCTAACACTCAGCTTGTTTTAATATGTGTGATAATGTTAGCCTCTTTTGCTGCAGTTCTCATATGTACCTGTGCTGAGTTGTCTGTCAAAACTGACAGGCAGATGGATGGAAGGAAGAGTTTCGATATTATTTTTTTCCTGCCCCGAAGGCTTCCTCACTGCCTGCATGTCTGTCCACCTATCTCAGCCCTCCCTCCTTCCCCGCCTCTCTCCCGTCACCTGTCAGCTTCTGCAGATAGCACATTACATGCAAACTTGAGCTGTTCCACCAAACACAGTCTTGTATGAGGACTGTGAAAACAATACCGCGAGATGACCTTAATATCAGACGTTTGGATTACAACAAAATTCAAGCATATGATTGCGAGACAATAGCTTAAATTACACCTGTGAAAGCCACAATACTGTTATAATTTCAGGCACGACAAATCAGTTTGGAACTCAACATTTTTGCCCGTCTGAGTGCGACAGTGCAACAGCAATTTCAGGCTTTTTGAAATCGTCGTCACACTTGGAGTTTTACCTGTCAGAGGAACACTGCATTTATAATTTCAAGTGTTTGTGAAAGCAGACGTGTGAGCGGGCATTTCTTCCCCCTCCCGCTTTCATCGAGAGGAAACTTCTCACAGTACCAATCAAACTTCTCATCAGTACTAATCACTATCAGTATTGCAAAGATGTTGGAATAAATAAGGGTTGGATAGCTGGTTAGTATAAACTTTTAAATGACACTGGGACTGCACAGATGAATATATATGGCTATCTGAATATTTGAATATTTTGGTTGGGGCAAAGTTAAAGTTA